CGAGTTCTGCACTTAGGTAGGGTAGGCAATTCCGAGCTGGGCTATTATCATTAATGTTATATTTATTGTGATGTATATTGCTGACCGGTTTGTGATTTATATCACTCCTGTTACTGGTTTATGCTTATTGTATTATTAAATTAGTATTATTGGACATATCCTGACTGTGTGCCTTTGTTTGACCTTTAGTGTTGCGTTCTGGAGTGCGAGATATTGGCGGCCAGGTTCGCGGGAGACTATCTCGTATTCCCGTTCGTAACACATGGATATGTATCAGATTTGGTAAAAATCTTCTAGAACCAATTTGAGAAAATGTTTATACGGACACGCCAAGCCCACAAACTATTATTTCAAAACGTATACAGTTTTTTCAGAGCTACATTCTCAGTATGAATAAAAATACTGTCGACAAAACCGATACACGAGTAAACAATTTGAGTTGACATTTTGTGTTTGCTTCCGAGAGAATCTATGTTCAACGTGGGCCTGTAGTCCTAGGTGCAGTTAAGTATATGGGGCTTACCTATATCCCCTGACTACACTTTCCAATAAAATGATCCTACATTCTCAAATAATATTGCAAAGTGTTTGTCAATTCTTTGTATATGTGAGATTTTACAGTTTTGGATTCATATCATAAAATAGCTATAAAAATCGATTATCCTACGTCATGTTCCAAATAAGGTTGCGGTTGGGTCGCGTAAACAACCTACTTCAGTTGTGTGTTTAGACTAGATAATAGAATGGATAAGAGTGGCTAGCAATGCATTTTGAAATTACCAGTGTTTACACACATCAACTAGATTGCACTGACAACCAAAGAATTATCCTATACAATGAAATTGATTCGTATGATACATTTATTTATAATGAATCAACCTGGTGGAAAAACAATAATTGTAATATTTATATTTCAAAGTATTCAAAGTATGACAAAAAGATTGTGCAAAATATAGTATTAATAGACAACGGGATGCAAAATGTGCATTGTATTTAATTTAAAACAAGTCTGCCCTAGACAGTATCTCCAATCAACTGAACAAGCATCAAATAAGTAAGAAACAAACACACAAACTATTGAATACATGTATCGTGTGGGTTCAGTATAATATAGTTATTTTGTCAGCTGCATATGAACATAAGCTATGATAGTTAAACATAAACCACGTTTACAAAATCTTCATGGACGTAGTTTTCGTCACACCTCGACATATTGTTTAATAAAAACTCTGTAGTAGGTTAACGCGTTTTCTGTTTGTTGATAAAATGTTTCCGTCCATCCTTCCAACCAGAATGTTTCCATGACTCTTTCCCCTAGAAATATAAATATGATAATTACAGTGTACGTACATACATATACACGTTATAGTAGCTACTAGTTGCAGTGTTATATCATTCATCGAATATCAAAATTACCAGAAAATGTTAGGTAACCCACCTTAATTTGTAAATCCCCTCTTCGAGAAATGACGTAATTACCAATAGGAACAAGGCCACGTTTTGTTGCTTCACTTATATGAATACGTAGTGCTACAAGCAAATAAACGTGTAACAAGAATATATAGTTTACTTGCTTTTTCACTGGGAGAGACGACACTGTTTGTCATAACTTGAACACTTCAGTACATTTTATTGCTTTTTTCTCGTGCTAACAATTGTCACAACAATGATAAACATGGAATTGTTTTCTCAAATACATGGGCTGTTCTGCAAACGTTGATTGACCTACAATTGTCTAACTGGTGTGTATATGCGTCGCTGATGTTCGATTGCCAATATTTGTTTTCGTTTTTAATATTTTAATTTTGATAATGGCAACACTAATGTACCGTTCTATATAAAAAAAAGAGTTAGTGTTCTATGTAAAGCATCAACTGTCATACATTCACGAATATTATGTTATGATATTACATCATTACGTTATGGTGCACATTCTTCGTGATATGGTGCACAAACATCGTGCTATGTTGTGCTTTCGTCATGTTATTGTGAGCAGCCAGCATGCCACTGTGTGAATCCATCACGTTATGAGGTGCATTCGTCATGATATCGTATACACACATTATATTATGGTGTGTCAAAATGACATTGCCTACAACCATCATGTTATGATTTACAAACATGTTATTGCCTGCAACCATCATATTATGTTGCGTCAAGATGTTATTGCCTGCAACTTTCATGTTGTGGTGTGTAAATATTATGTTTCGAAGTGTATTCATTGCCGTATGGTTATATTTATTGTATGTACATTTAAAATGAGGATAACGTGTTTTTATTTGACCTCGATTACGAATGAAGTTTTTAAAACGGAAACTCGAAATGATGATTATGTAATGGAATCTCGGCAACCCGGGGGCGTAATGTCAAATCACTAAATTGCAATTGTTGCTATTAAAATATTACACCGTTTTGCAATTTAGGCATGTGCAAATTAGTTATTTCACATATTGCATGTTTGACGTGCAGTACCCCGTCTTTACTAACAGTCTTCTTTTATGATACACGTATAACATATTTAGTGTTCCAAGCAATAGTAATTGTATATCTTGAATAATTATAATATTTTAGTGATCCGTTGTTTCCGTGGTAACAAAGTAAAAATAGAACGTATTATGTGTTCTCCGCAGTTTATCGTAATGTGTAAGGTAATACACTATTCCCGTGTATTGGTCACACATATGAAGATAATATCACCGCAGTGGCCCAAGTATTCATGCCAAGTGACTACCACTTACGAAATATTAAATCATTGCTCACATGATATGATATAAGAATCACGTTACATTTTTTACACGTTAGATCAGGCAAATCTGCAATATATTTCACAATTTTTGTTCGAAGCTACAACGTTATACACAGCTTTCCCACAAGTTTTCCACGAAAAAGTTCCATTGCAAAAAAAAAATTGAGAAAATTGGCAAAGCCAAAATCGATCAATTTAAACCACAAAATCGAAAGTTAACATTTGGTTTCATGATATTTGTTCTTTTTCATGAGTTTCCCATGTCCCCTGTGTGTTTTAATAAACAGATTAAATAGATAAACAGTGATTAAATATATTACTGGTTTCATCATCACCGTGTAATATGTTCAAAACCTTCTACATTAAGTATTATTATCACGTGCATTTGGCTCCTTGGTGTAAGTGATAAAGGTGAGCGGGTAATTCTTACGTTTACATATTGTCCACGTAACATTTTGATTAAGGACATACCACTACAATTATCTACTACCATTTTCTGTATAACACCATAACATGATATGTGAACACCGTAAAATGAAGGTTTAACACAATAACATGCTACCACGTGGCACACGCTATCATGAAGAATGAACGACATCACATGATATCAGTGAAAATAATCAATATGGCTATTTTTTTCTATGCAATATGCATTATACCTGTAGGACAATTTGCTTTGTTTGAGATGAGAAACAGGGCAATGGGGGGAGGAAGTACAGTTTTAAAGGCCCGTGTAAGGTTTATAAGGAACCTTAAACAATAGATTTCTACTGTCAAGTTACGGTCAAATCACCGTGTTTGTGTGGCTACATAGCTCCCAATGTAGTAAATATGAATACTAGAGATGTGAATTTATGACACAATTATAATAAATTGTGTATGTGTTTAGAGTTCATCTCCGTAATGACAAAATACTAATACTAGTGGGAAACATGTCACCAATAGGGAGGGATCGTCTTGCAAACTGAATTAGACGTTCAAATAAACACACAGGAACTAAGTTTTAAGCCAAATGAGAAAAAATTTTATGTTACAGATTATTCCAATAGAAATATTATGCTAATAAGCTAAATCAGGTCTGTTGTTCATGTAATAGTGGTTGTGTAACAGGTTGCATTTTAATCTAGTCAGTGACTCGTGAGCTACCATCGGAAGTGGTTGTGACACAGGCAAACACACGGAGGGATAAAAGATATCGGTACGACATTACCCCCCGTGTGCAATTTGCACATACGAGAACTAACACTAGCAAATTTCGAAGAAATGCCGTATCTCTGAGACTATAAACAAATATAGGTTGTTTGGTGAAGAAACAGAAACGACCGCTATCACCACTTAGCAACAGAATCATTCTCATATAGTACAAATAAAGTTGCATAATCCACACAGGAAAAAATCTTTTTATTACAAACTTTAGTTTGTATACAATGACAAATTCAGAAGACCAAATACATACTTCTATATGCATGATTTCTCAGTCAGAAAGTCTTCTCTGTAATATAATATAATATTGGATATGGTACCGTTGTATGATAATTTATATGGTACTAATAGTATGGTAAAGATATGGTATATAATGGCATAATATATACTGGTTCAATCTGGAGTACTTTGGTAAGCAGTGTATGTGACAGTACGTTAACAACTGACACCTGCAAGCCTCTCTAAAACAGTTGGTGAGAGGAGTACAGTACTAAATACAGAAAAAATTGAAAGACAAAAAAATCTTCTTTTAAACCCAGATCCTGTAAAAAAGCAAAAAAAGTACATTTAAACAAATATGTTCAAACAAGTCACATTGGACGTAGATGGCGCTGTGACAGCAACAAGAGGCACTT